GCGCATCACGGACGAACGGAACCGTCAGGTATTTGTGAAGAATGATTAATGGAAAATCGATATTTCCATCATTCCAATCGTATTTCTCTTCATTCTCCTTTTCCGATCTCTTTTTTTCTTTTTTTTTTTTTTTTTTTTTTCCCTTTCCTGATTTCAATTCTAACCGAGATTTATTTCATTTTTCATTTTTCATCTTTTTTCTCTTTCCTTTTTTCTTTTATTTTTACATATTCCTTCATTTTATTTTATTTCATTTCTTTTTTTATTTTCGTTCTTCTTTTCTTATTTTTTCTTATTTTTTTTTCTTTTTTTTTTTTTTTCTTTTTCTTTCTTTTCCTTTAATTTAATACAATTTCAATCTCGGTATTTAGTTCAATTTTCAAAGAGGAAAAAAAAAAAGAAAATTAAATTAATAGTTATGTTCAATTAAAGCTTTAGAAAAAGTTAATTATAATTGAAATGAATGTTTAATTATAATTATAATTAAAATTAATTAAAGTTTGTCAACCAGAGAGATTGATTTTTCTTCTTCTCTTCGTTATTCATTGAAATGAACATATAGGATATTTATGTAAATATATTAAATGTAATATCGAAATACAGGGTTGAAGAAAAGTTCCCAGATAAAATTTTGAAAAAACCTACTACTTTCTTCGAAAACTTTTTAGGCTCTTCTTTATTTATTTATTCAAATAGTAAAGTTACTTCGAGAAAGAAAAAAAGAGAGAGAGAGAGAGAGAGAGAGAGAGAGAGAGAGAGAGAGAGAAAGTACTACGAGCTTTTTGAAAGAAAGTTTGAAAAAATTTTGTTAAATTACCGAACAACGAACACCTGGCACCTCTCCGTTTCATCCCTGTATCAAGAGATTACATTTTTATTTTTTCTTTTCTTTTTTTTTTTTTTCCATTATTTACAATAATAAAAATAAAATAAATAAATACTGGGAAATTGAATACGTATTACATTTATAAATGCATTAATATCGTGATTACGTTTGAAATAGATTTAATTTAATTTGATCAATGAGAAGAATAGAATAGATTTGACATAAATGATTTCTCTGTTTGCACACTAGGTGACCTTTAACAAGAGGAAATTCGGGGTAATGAAGAAGGCGTACGAATTGTCGGTACTATGCGATTGCGAGATTGCGCTGATTATCTTTAGTTCGAGCAACAAGCTGTACCAGTATGCGAGCACCGACATGGACAAGGTTCTCCTCAAGTACACCGAGTACAACGAACCCCACGAGTCCCTCACCAACAAGAATATCATCGAGGTGAGTCGATTTATCCGCTGCACTTCGTAGGAATAGTTATATAGCAATATTATATTAGGTCCTTTAGTATATTATGACAATTTCAATCGAATATCTTTTTCTTATTCATGAATGAACGAGAATAATTAAAAAATGAAAAAAAGAAAGAAAGAAAGAAAGAAAGGAAAGATGATGAAATTAAAAATCTACAATTCTTATATTCGATAATTAAATTTTATCCATATTAATAAATAGTTTATATTATGTAACCTATATTAATTGATAGATATTTATAAAAAATAAAAAAATAAAAATGAAATAAAAAAGTGGCATTTAAAAATAAATTTCTGTTCATATTTAACGATTAGAAAGAGAGAGAGAGAGAGAGAGAGAGAGAGAGAGAGAGAGAGAGAGAGAGAGAGAAAGAGAGAGAGAAAGAAATTAAAAATCTACGATTTTTTTTTTTTTTTTTTTTTTTTTCTTTGATAAAAGAACGTGTACACATACGTAGGTGTTATCCGTATTAATGAATCGATCTTGTGTAAGAAAATTAAATGGCAGATATTTTAAAGAATTGACGTTTTAAAAATAATTTTGTTTCCCTTTTTCTTTTTTCACATTTAACTAAAAATAAAAAAAAAATAAATAATAATAAAAAAAAAAAAAAAAGAAATTAAAAATCCACGATTATTTTTCTTCGCCAAATAAATGCGTTTAGATATTGTCCATATTAATGAGTCAATCTTGTATGATAAATTTAGATAAATATTTTAAAGAGTTGACTTTTAAAAATAAATTTTGTTCCTATGTAATAATTAAAAAATGTTTTCTTTTTTATTTTTTTTTTTTTTTAATGATGAATTTATAAAACAGTTTTTCAAGATAAATTTATCTTCTTTCCGTTTAAAAACTTAAAGATTGAAAGATAAGTTCGATAGGTATTTAATTGTATAAATCTTCGTTATCTATTGTTTTTTTTTTTTTTTTTTTTTTTTGTCGTACGGGAGTAATTTGAATAACTTCGCGAGAAAATGATGATTGAACGGTCGAATATATGATGAATTTAATTTTTCGCAATTCGAACGAGAAATCATATATTCGAAAATTAATCGAGAATCGAGAGGTATACAGATGAATGTATCAAGTATTCGAATAATTCGTTCGAATGAAATTTCGTTAATTTCGTATGCTGCGTACTGTACTCGACGTGTTGATCTTCGTGCTTCGAATATAATTAATTCG